TGTCCCACATATAAAGTAGAGGAAGATGGGCATGGATGTTAACTCAGGGCTAGTCTTCCTCAGCAAAAAGAGGAGGATTGGCAGCAGATGTTAGCTCAGAGCCAATCTTCCTCAGAAAAAAAAAAAGAAAGAAATGTCCTGAGTATCAAGGTAGCACCAAGGGCCCACTTGAGGTTTGTGGTCATTAATTTAAAGAGTGACCATTCAAGGGCCAGCCCCGTGGCTGAGTGGTTGGGTTCATGCACTCTGCTTTAGCGGCCCAGGGTTTCGCTGGTTCAGATCTTGGGCACAGACCTACCACCACTCATCAAGCCACGCTGAGGCAGTGTCCCACATGCCACAACCAGAAGGAACCACATCTAAAATATACACCTATGTACCGGGGGGTTTTGGAGAGAAGGAAAAATATTTTAAGTGTGACCATTCAGCTCGTTTCCTCCAGTTGAGCAGACAAAGCATTGGTATATTAATTAGTCAGGGTAGGATAACTGCTGTATAAACCCCAAATGCCAGTGCCTTAATATGACCAAAGTTAATTTCTCACTAAGAAATTTACATGGATTATCTCACTTAATTCTCACAAACAGTTGAATAAAGTGGATACTATTATTATGATGCTTTTCAGATGAGAAAACTAAAAACTAAAGAATTGGTTGAAGTAAGCTTCAGCTCTAATTTTTGTTTCAGGAATTAGTTTTATTTGGGGGTATCTAAAAATAATATTTGCCTTATAAAATTAATTCAGTAAACGTAATTTGATCACTACATTCATTCATTAACAAACTATTATTAGTATCAACTATGTTAGGCTATATATTTCAAAACAGTTCATGGTATTAGGAATCTTCGTCTGTAACAATTGGAGCAGCATTTTTTCAATTAATTATCAGGGCCAGGTAAGTTATTTTCTAGGTAATTCTTATTTCTTCTTTTTGTTTGGTCTATTTATATTCTCTCTTCTTGCATCTCATTTAGTATTTTAATTTTTCTAAGCATTTATCTATCTAATTTATTTCTTCAAATTTACTAGTATGGAAGTAGTAACTTTCCTCAAACATTCTTAATTCACTTCCACATTATTCCTTTTATTTGTTTATCCTCCCTGAATTTAAAAATACTTTTAATTTTTTTAAAAAGCAATTATTTATTTATGTAGAATTTTCAATACCATTTTAACACACTATTTGTAATTTTGGTGCTTTAAAACTAATTTCCACACAGATTAACTTTAACACCTTCACTTCATTTAAATGAAAGGAGCTCCTCCTACTGTTTTTCTGGATTAATGCTAATTGTTAGATCCTGTTTCATATATAAAGAATTAGAATTCCATTTATGTAGTCAAAACCAGAACGTAAGTCATGTCTCTCAACACTCAAAAGTTTCTTACGTGCAATAAAAATGGCAAGTGATCACTAGGAGATCACTGACTTAGGTAGCAAATATCAAGGGTCAATTGGGCTATGCTTCCTTGTTGTTTGGCTAAGGAGTTTCTCTCCTTAGACTAAAGGAGAGGACACAGTATCATAAAATAAAATATGGGCTTTGGGTTGGGTCACTTAATAGCTACGTGCACTTACAAGTAGGCAGTTACTGAATATCTACTGGCACCCATGGATAACTAGGCACTATAAAAGGAGTTAGGGACATGTGAATATGAAATACTGCCCCCCGCCCCCCATCCTCCATTCTATACTCTGGACAAGCAGAGACATGAGTTATAATTTTGGCTCTTTTATTGCCTTTGGGGTAACATGTGCAAGTCACCAAAGTATTTGAGACTCAGTTTCCTAGTCTGTGAAATGGAAGTAATAATACCTACCTCACAGGGTTTTTTAAGGAATTAAATGATAAAAGTGTTTATGTAAAATACTTAGTACATAATAGGTACATAGTAACTGTGAGTTCCTTTTCTTTCTCCCTTTAGATCCGATCTCAGAAAAAGAAAAAAAGAGCCTCATGTTTAGGCAGGAGCAATAGCGTCCTTTTAATAATTATAGTACCCCCAAATAATCGAATAGTACATACTCTGAGCTCCGGAAGCAGTGCAGGATTTTCTCAGCTTTGGCACCACTGACATTTTGGACCCAATGATGCTCCATTGTGGAGCGCTGTCCTGAACACTGAGGGATGTTTAGCAGCATCCCTGGTCTCTACTCACTACATGCCAGCAACAGCCCCCTGGTTGTAAAAATCAAAAATATCTCCAGACATTGCCAAATGTTCCCTCAGAGGGAAAGTCACCCCCAGCTGAGAACCTCTGCATTATTGGATGATGAACTCATATTAAGTGGGTCTTTAGGAGCATTTAAAATTGTTAAATGGAATAAATTATCATAGGTAGTCAAGTATTGCTTACTAATATAAATTTCCTACTATGAGTTTCGGTCAAAAGTTTGAAAGCCACTGTTCTATACTTAAAAACTTTCATATAAAGGATCTCAGTCAGAAAATTCTATAAAGTAGGCAGGACAGTAGTCATCCCTGTTTTACAATCAGAAAATTGAGCCTCAGATCAGCTGAGTAACTTGCTCTCAGGCTAAAGGAAGGATTTGAAGCACAACCCAAGGCTCTAAACTTTTATTGACAAGGTGGAAAGGACATTGTCACCTGAAGGCAAAGATCTCCAGTACAGTCCAGAAGGACAGAGGCATCAGAGTCAGACGACTTGGTGGTGGGTCCAACAATTAAAATTTAATATCAAAACACTAGATGGAAATTTGAAGAACATTTTATCAAGATTGTGTTTTTCCACACTGGCTAGCTAATCCTTGTACACCCCATAGGTAGTTGTGGAATGAATAAATGAGTGAATGAACATGGACCACACAATTCCTATTACACTTCAATCAGCTAGGCCCTCTGCTCACCCCCAGTCAGGCATGCTGCTCCCTTTGCCTAGAATCTCTCTCTTCTCCTTCCCCACTGACTTCTAGACTCAGCTCTCCAACAGTCCTCTGGGGGACACTTTCCACAAGTCCCCAGACAGGTTTATTTCCTCCTGTGTGCTCCTTCTACAGGCCTTACCTAATTGCACTGTAATGATCTGTTCCACAATTGTTCCCTGACACCTCCTGTGTCTTTTGACCCTTTTTACCCAGTGCCCCATCCCAGAGGTAGCAACTATGTTCTATTACAAAGACCATTAACCACAGCATCCACCTTCGTTCTGGGCGATGCAGCTGCTGTTTAGGAATTGTTGACTGCGCGGAAGGAAGGAAGACAAGGCAATTATCTGACACTTTGGAAGCAAAAGTATATTATTGCTCCCTTTCAAGCTAAGGGGAAAACAACTATCCATTTCATTCTCATGGGTTAAAGCTTTCCTTCTGAAGGAGAAGACAGCAGTGGAAGGCTCGAGCTCTCGGTGGTGCAGGCCCCCACTCTGTGGAGGCGTGCGTGCACTGCAGGCCGCTCGCCCTGCTGCCCAGCCAAACTCCAAGAAGGCACTGCAGTCTCCCACCCGACTCTGCCACCTGGAGTTAAGCTGTCACTGCCTAAGCCATAGGCCCTAAGGCATCTAGCTCTGTGTCCCCACCTTTCAGGACAGTCACTTCGACTCCAGTTAAATGGATGGCTTACCAGGACCTGCCCTAGACGATTCTGCTTCAGTGGGTTGGAGATGAGGCACCCAATAATTTGTGTTTTTAACTAGTATCCCAAGTGATTCTTACTATCAAGGAATTTTGGGAAACTAATCATCTTTGTTTCAGCCACGCTATAGAATTAGGGCAGTTATTTATTGTTCAGTGACTTTACCTCTAAGCTAATTTTGGAATATGTTTCTGGTTGAGAGACAAAATGCTCCTGAGGTCCTTGAAGGTGTAGCTGATTAATATGCAGAGTATATTACACTGCAGCTTTTACCTTCCTTGTCAGCAGGGTGATTCAAGGGAGAGCGGCTTTAAAGGCGAGGACCATGGGGAAACCCCAAACTTCAGACCCATTCTGGCCACGTGAGCCAAACCAGGCCCCGAACCTCAGTGCTGGGACGACGATCTGAGCGTTATGGGAGCCAGTTCAGTCCTTTCACAGACGAGGTCAGAGAGCTGAGTGACCAGCAGCAGTCTCCCTCACCAGACTTTGGACGGAAAAAAATACAGTCGGGGGGTGCTTTCTTTAGTAAGACGCCTTGTTTGAAGCTGTTCTCGGCAAGAAAAGCAGAGAAAAAACAGGCCCGACTTTTTATTCCGACTTCACAAGCCGCAAGTCTGCATCTTTAGTGGGATCAAGGGGCATAGTCAGTAAGCTCTTGTTGCTGGTCTCCTGCCTTCCTTCCTGGTCGGATCCAGTCAGGCTCTCCTTGTCAATCGCGGTCAAAGGGACTCTGGTGGGAAAAACAACAGCAAACGTTTCTGAAAGGGAGGAAGTCTTCAGCCACTCGTGACCACAGGAAATCCATCCGGGCCAAAAAGATAGTGGCCGCTTGGCTGAGGGGCCTCGGGACTTCACAGTATTTGCTCCTGTGTGGAACAGGTGGGAGTCCATAAAATAACACAGCTATGGAGAGATCAAATCACTTGCCCAAGGGGCTCCCCTTGCGGTACGCGTACCACCGCGGGACCCACAAGGCCGAGACCCAGACCCAAAGGGGAGTCTCACGCGCAGGCGCCCGACCGCCCCGCGGCTAGGGCGGTGGCAAGGGCGGGGCGCTCGAGGTCCGGGCGAGGGCCAGTCACGTGGGCTGCGCTGCCCTCGCCGCGATTTCCCTACAAGGACTTGAGCTAACGAGCCCCGCCCCTGGCCGTGCCCTGGAATGTGCCCTCAAGACAGACTCGCCCATTTGCCACTGGGAAAGGGGGGAGGAAAAGCTTACGTTGTAAGACGAGGTATAAAAAAGACGAAACTCAGTGACCAAACCCAACAAGCCATTACACATTCTTCTCTGTTCTACGTCGCCTGCTTTATACTTCCTTCCCGTGCACTCGGTCAAAATTGCGTCCTTTAGCACACTGGCAATTTCCCCCCTCGACGCCTTTCCATTAAGTCAGGCCCACAATGTTGGCTGAGAACGCTGACGAGGCTTCCTTCCGGTTTGCTAAGCCGAGGCCGGAAGTGTTGGGTTTTAGCGGCTTTGGGAATAGAAGGCTGGTAATAGCGGCTGCGAGGGCGGCGAGGGGCTGACTGAAGTGCTCGCATTCTCGCGACCGTGCAGGGTGAGTGTTGCTCGCGGTCGGGCGCGTGAGGCCCATCTCCCCGGGGCGGCGGGGAGGGCAGCGGCGGGCCCCCGGCGCCGGGGGCGCACCTGGGCGGGTGGACCAGCCGGTTCCTCGGTTTCCAGTCCGAGTTCCGGATTCGAAGGCCACGGCCAGAAGTGCCCAGACGTGGACTTCGCTCTTTTGCCCAAACTTGGGGCTCGGGGAGTGTGGCTTAGCTTTGGCGCCGCGAGCTTGGGCGACCGCCGGCCCCGCGAAACCCGACCCCCGCGGCGCTGACTCCGCGACTAAGTTTAGTTTCTAACGTAAACTTGCCCGATTCAAGAGAGTTTGCGCAAAAACCGTTGCCCCGTGTCCCCCCTGCTACAGCTGTTGTTGCAGCTGTGTGGCTACGTTTAGTAGGAATGACCAACTCAAATTAGCAACTTCCTCAGCTCAGTATCCATTTCTGTAATTAGAACTTTTTTTTAAAAAGTGAGATTTGGACGACGAGGGGTTTGGGGTTTAGTTTCCGGCTTGAGAAAAATTCCGCAATATAGTACCGTGTTCCTTTCGGATGGAAACTTGAAGTCAGTTTACCAAAGTGTTACCTTTTAAAGTAGTTGAGTAGGTATATGAAAGTATGTATCAGTTCTTTACAGAACTTTGCAACAGAAATATGCATTCAGCTGAGATTTGGACTTGGCAAAAGTTTTATATCTAAAAGCGAAGAAAGTGAATACTTGTTAAAATTACTCTCTGTTTCATGTTCTGGAAGGCTTTTGATAAAACTTAACCAGAAAAGCATTTTATTTTCCAAAGTGAGGCTTTACTGGCAAGGGAACCCTGACATCTAGTTTTCTTTGTCGAATGCTAAGAACTTTCTGGGTGTGGCAGTCTAAGAGAACTAACCCTGCCTTCAACCGGAAGTTTGCGGAGCAATTGAAAACTTGGTTTAGTTGGAACGGAAGCACCAACCTGAAAATGTACTTTTAAAAAACTGGTTGGCATCAAAAAATTATGTATACTTAGCTTGGAAAAAAGTGAGTTGATTAAATGCAGTAGATTTGAAAAGCAGATACTACGTGCTGTCACGCTAGGAGGTGTTTGCTAAGATGGGAGTTTTTCCTTAAATAATGTATCATATTTCCCTGAGCACTATCGGTGTAAGCATTGGTTCTGTAGAAAAAGTCTCTAAATTATTTTACATTTGTTACCACTTTATAAATGTTAGACTCTAGGATTCTAACTAGAGTAATCTAATGTAATATTAGTATGGATTAATCCAGTGTTATAAATGAAACCATAATATCTAGAGATTCTGAAAAATCTGTTGCCCTTGGTGTGTGGGGACAGCCTCCTTGAGGTTCTTTATTTTCCATTTCTCCCACCACTTAATGTAGTCTAACATCTTCCTTACATGGTTTGCATCTGTCCTTTTGTTATAACCCAGAATGATTCTCTTCCTATTTGATCAAGCTAAAAATAAAACCATAAGTTGATTGCCATCAACACTCCCCTCCCCTGATTGAAAACAAGATTATACTCCCTTGGATCTGTAAATTAAATCTCCTTGTCCACAGTTGACTGTTTCATTTACTTTCTCTTGCATCTGAAATCCTTCTGTGTTTCATAGAAGCCTGCTCTGTAAGTGTCCCTACTTTCCAGTTTCATACAACACATATCCCTTCACACCAAAAATCTTTCATTAAATGCTCCAAAAATAGACTGTAGACTCTAACTTAGAATGAGTGACGATCCTCATAACTTGGAAATCTCAGGTGCCTACGTGGCAATCTTCCCGTCCTAAATAAAGAATATGACATTGATGTATGAAGTATTTGCAATTTTATTTTACCCTAGTTTTCTAAATTTATATGAGAGTTGTCCATTTGCTGAAGGCTTGTGCATGGAGAGAAATTAACAGTCTCACCTGTTTGGGGAAAGAAAAAATGGACGGCAAACTAGAATAGCAAGGAGGACAGTGACAATATCATAAGCGATCTCTTCCTTGGGATCATAGCACTGTTCCTGATCTGCCTCCCTCTACACTAGTGTTTATTCCACCTATACTTTTAGTTTGGTAGGAAAAAAATAAACCACACTTTTCGTATTTTGGAACAACTGACTGTGAAGCTGAACTCCCTGTTACTGAAAGGCTCCAGGTTTCTGGTAGGATGTAAACTAACTGGAAGATCAGAATCCAACCTCCTTGAAAAAGTGAAGGCCCAAGTAGTAACTTGCCCAACATTATGCTACCAGTTTTTGGTAGAATTAACTACCTTAATTTGTTAGAATTAAGGCTAACATCTGAAATCACTTAATTCTAAGGATGTCTTCTAGCTTCTAAGTGGTACCGGGTTTTTTCAAGGTCGTCCCCCGCCCCCTCCGCTGAATCTTTTAGAAACAAAGATCTCTGAACTCAAAGTATTTGTAAATCATGTACCACCTTTGAGTTATTTTTCATTCTTGTCACACTATTTTGACTTGAGAGTCATACTTCTGGAATGAAAACTATGTGACTCATTTCATAAATTGAACCAATTATCTCATTTCTTTATAGTTGCCTCCCCAACTATATTTTAGGCTCCTTAAAGATAGAACACTTGCCTTCTATTTCTTAATTCTTAAATAGTACTCAACACTAGTGGCATTTGATGTGCATTAGTGTAATTAATTGTAATTAAAGGTTGATGATTAAGTATCAAATGATCTAAAGAAAAGTTCTCTGTGAGACCATTGTCAGTGCTGACCAAAAAGAACCTTTATAACTTGTAAAAACTATTTTATAATGCATATACAAATTTAAAGAGTACTTGATTAAAAGAAAGACTAATAGGAAATACATCAAAACTTGAATATTAGATGTATTACTTTATAACCCAAACTAAGCATTTTTAAGGATACTTAGAGAACCCCCACTAAATTTAATATGAGGTTTTGTAGATTAAAAAATCAGTTGTGTCAACCATTTGACTTGTACTTTTCATCAGTTTCTTTGTCTTTAGAATAACTAACATTCCTGCATCATTAGGCGAAGACAATGTTGTCAAACGAAACAGACTATTTTTAAAGACATGCTTTGGTTTGCGAAGACATAGCATGCCTAAAATATTAGAGACATGGACTGGTAAATATGTGCCACTCATCAGTTCTCAGCCTCTCACTCCAAGTCCTTGAGCACGTTTAAGAGACGGAGGAATAATATACTCCATAACTCTTTGTAGTTTTTAAAACTGCATTTAGAATAGAAGAGAAAATTGCAGCTCTACGTAGTTTAGATAATAATGGGATTTACTGCCCCCAAAAGGTGTCACAGTATGAAAATACACATTCATGAATGGTTTAGAGAAATTATGAAAAGCAGCCTCCTAAAGGATGATTAAAGGACTCTTGGAAATTAGGGAGGAATATATATCATAATTTCTGTGTCATGTAGGGTATGTCTTAACAAACAGCACATTCTAGTGTATTGCCAAAGAGTGCTAGATTGGATGGACTGGAATTTGTGACTCTCCTTTGTGGAATTTCCGACTAAAATCTGAGAACAGATTTAGCTAAAAAAAAAATCTAAGGCACCGCTTTTCTAATTATCTACATAATTGAATTTAGTCTGAGTGATGTAGTGTAATCAAGAAAAGAATGTAAGAAATAACATTTTAAACTTGTATGAAGCATTGTATTCCAAGGTCACTTGGCAGTGCTGAGATCTAGGTAGTCCTTCATTCTTTGCAGTCCACAGACTTATTTTTAGAGCAAGGGCATACTGTTTTGCTACGTCATAGCTAAATGTTGTTTTCAGAACGTAAGCTTTAAAAGTGTTACCCTGGTCAGAGAATGAAATCAGTAGTGCCTATTTTAGATCTGCTTGGAAGAATATAACTCAGTACAGTGTCTTGGTCTTGTTGATTAGAGGTTTTGCAAACTACCATCACACCTCAGCCCTGAAGGATGGTATGGTAAAATTTTATTATCCAATAACTGGGATTTTTAACTTAAATTTTTCTAGTCTTTTAAAGATTGAGTGTTGAAAGGAAAGTTGCCTTTTCATTTTAGGTAATATCAGACATGCTTTTTATTTTTATTCTTAAGGTTTACAGGGATAATTTAGATTATTAGCGAGCAGAGTAGCTTCCATACCTCCTAAAACGTTTTCTAAAACTTTTTTTAAACTAAATTGCATTAAAAACTGTTGTGCTCTGATTTTTTGTTTAGAGGACTTAGTCACTTCGAGTGACTAAGAAATTGTGCAAGAAATTGATTTGGCTAAAGTGAAAATATCTGTAAAACTGAATTATAGGTGAATTAACTCCAGGGTTTTCTATACTTTTCAATTAGCCTTTAAACAAATATGTTTGTTGAGTGACTTTGATTTCCGGAAGTGAAGGTGCAGTAGGAAATGTTAGTTGCAAGTGGAAGAATGATATTTGGCAATAAAGATTAGAAGATGAAGACCTGTTCCATCAGTTAGTCTTCCTTCTTACTTTCTGTCCACCTTAGAATGGGACAGCTAGTTTAGACTAGGCTGCAGAAGGATAGACCTGTTGAAGATGAATTAGTATTCCTCAGTACTCCCATAGCGCTGAAGTATAGAACTGGCACTGTTGCCCCAGGAGACCTACATTTTATTGTTTCTTGTTTCCTATATCATTAAACCAGTAGATTTGGTTACGGGTCCTTATTAGACTATACAGCAGTACTGGGGACGTGCAATCTTGTTCATAGGCTCTGAGCTTTGAGTTAATGTTGGTTGTAATTTGGAATATGAAGTTAGTGATGGACTGTTTATTAAATTTCATGATAAGGATGAGTAAGCTCAAAGCATGAGCCTGGTTTTTCTCTTTGTAATTTGGTTCTATGAGTAATAGTATTGATCAGTTGAGAGAGATTTTTGCCAAGTGATACTATCCCGCTAAATAGTTTGTAGACACATCTCTAAGTAACTCAAACGTATCAGGAAGGTTGATTCATTTTACTTTTGGTTAATCTTTATTTTTCTTGTATTTCCCTTCCTAATTAGGATTTAACCGCCACCATGTCGAGCAAAAGGGCAAAGACCAAGACCACCAAGAAGCGCCCCCAGCGCGCAACATCCAATGTGTTCGCCATGTTTGACCAGTCACAGATTCAGGAGTTCAAAGAGGCCTTCAACATGATTGATCAGAACAGAGATGGTTTCATTGACAAGGAAGATTTGCATGATATGCTTGCCTCCTTGGGTAATGCTCAGTTTTAATATTAAAATATTAGATAGAATTTATTTAATGCCTTTTATATTTATTTCTTAAGTCTTAAAGTTCTGTGAAGCCCCTCAAATTATGTTTTAGTTTACTAAGATTTGAAGTCTGGAGCAGTGTTTCCCAAAGTGTGGTTCTTGGACCATCTGCAGATTTCTGGCCAGATCTCAGGATTGGGCTCGAGGCCAGCCCTGTGTGTGTGTTGCAAACACTGATTTTGATTATGAGAGTAGTAGTAGTCTTCCTGATATCCCGATGGAATAGCATACAATCTCCGGACTCTTAATACAGGCCCTATTCATTGAGAAGACTTTTTTTTCCAAATAGTTTCGCTGTCATGAATACAAACAGCAAACTGTATAAATGATAATCTTTCTTGTCAAAATATTTGCTATGATGAATGGTTGATGCATTTTGTGGTGTAGTTAAAATTATAATCCTCTTTTTTATTTAGGGAAAAATCCGACTGATGAGTATCTGGATGCCATGATGAATGAGGCTCCTGGGCCCATAAATTTTACCATGTTTCTCACAATGTTTGGTGAAAAGTTAAATGGGACAGATCCAGAAGATGTTATCAGAAATGCTTTTGCTTGTTTTGATGAAGAAGCAACTGGTAAGTCTGAGGTAACCTTTAATTAGCAAGGGATTTAATTTTTAGTTATACCATACCAGTTTTTTTTTTTCAACAGGCTTCTACGCCATATTACTCACTTCACTGCCTCTGCCCTTAAATATTTAATTTACAATTTAATAGGTGTATTTGAAACTTCATTAGAAAACTTATGTTACTCCTTTACTAGAATAATTCTGCAAGGGTTAGGCAAGCAGTAAATATGTGTTGAATGAATAACTTTTAGCAGAGCAGTCTTGGATAAAATGTAAATTGCTATAGGCCATGACACCAGTATAGTCCTGTGTTTATCAGGTACCTCTCAGCCCTGAGATTGTTTAAATCTGGTATCTACTTTCACTCTGGAATCAGACTCCCAGGTTTTGTATTCCTATTTTGTGTAATAGCCGTGTGATTTCAGGCAAGTTACTTCTCTAAGCCTCTCTTTTCTTATTTGTAAAATGAGCAATAATATTACCTATCTCATAGGGTTGTTGTAAGGATTAAATGAGGTAATTTATATAAAGTGCTTAACATACTGCCTGGCATAGAGTTAACTCTCAAAAGAACACCAAAAGTTAACTACATAACTGCCTGATTCCTTGCAGAAGTGCATGTAATAAGAGAAAACATAAGGGGATAACTCACATGGCAAGTATTTTGAGAAGGAAGGCACACCTTTGGTTACGTATTACTTAGACTAGTTTAAATAGTCCAAGCATAGTCTGGTGTTGGAAGCATAGTCTCCCCACTCTGGCACTGAAGGCTCCCCACATGTGGCCTCATATGGCCTACTCAGGTAACCCTTTACTCTCTCTCTTCTTAAGCTCCTTCCAAGCTCCTCTGTGCATTGGTGTCAGAACTTCCACCATTTCTGCCTCTGTGCCTTCCTTGTCATACCACCTCTCCTCCCTCCTCTTAAAACTCTTTGACAGTTATTTCTGAAAGGGCTGGGAGGAGGAGCAGACAGAGGAGACTTGCTTTTTTTCTCCTCAAGTCACTTCTGTGTTGATTGATTTTTTTACTGTGAGCAGGTGTTACTTTTTTGAGAGAAAGGAATAAAACCATTAAAGAGTGAAATGTCTTTACCATTCTTCAAACTCATTTTAATGGTCACGTTTTTTATAGAGCCCTACCTGTGTTTTCCTACCATTTTCTCCTGGCCCCCAGGAGAACTTAAAGCCTCTCCCTTCTTTCCACCTCCAGAGTATTTAATTTATCTCTGTCCTGGCATATACTCTATCTCACCTTCTATTTTAGTTGTATATTTATTCCCAGTCATCACAGTCTCTCCTCACTCTCAGGGTCATGGCTGTGTGTTTTCCAACAACATTATATTCCCATCTTTGTAACCCCCTCTAGCACCTTCCACAGTCCCTTGCACATACATCCTCGTGATTAGTTTATGTGATAGTTGAATGGCTTGGCTGGCAATGAGGATGTATTTCTACGAGCGAAAAGTCTAAGATTTGAGGGACTTTTTTTTTTAATCTAAGATTAGCAAAAAACCCCCAATATATCTAGAGTTTATTTTGTGAACTGACCATATCTCTTTAAATTCATTTTATAGGAAATAGATTATCAATCTTTTAGTTTAATTTCACATATAAAGAAGTTGTCAGATTATTCTTTTTTTACTTTATGAATTTCAAAACCTATGCTTGAATGGATCATTTATCACCTTTGGTTTAGTACATTAGTGGCTCTTAGTCATAATTGCACATGCAAATTACTCGAGGAGCCTTTAAAAATATCAATACCAGATAATAAGTCAAGGGTAGGATCTGGGCTTCTTTATTTTGTTTTATTTTAAGCTCCTTGGGTGATTCCAGTGTGCAGTCGTGTTTTATAAGAAACCTTAGTATCTCAAATCGAGAGTAGAAAGCACACCTTTGGGCTCACCACTTCACAAGCCCAGTGTCTGTGACATAGCTAATGCTCAAATATTTACTCTGTTTTTGCACACCCTGGCCTGGCCGTATTTGTTATTAAATCTGAATTAGATTTGTAAAAAAAAATATATGTATCATTTTACATATAAAAAAATCAAAGTCAGAGGTAAAGTGAAATGCCTGAAATAACATAGCTTGTTAAAACTGGACCTCAAGATTCCAGTATTCTTTCCACTGAAGCACTTTATTGATGTTTATGATGGGGTATTGATTGTAGTGTTTTTTGCTTGTAGAATAAGTGGCCATTCATGCTACCTTAAGGAATCGTATGAGACAGATTCCTTACTCACACTTTACTGCTTTTGTTTAGGCTTGGGCTTAGCCCTTCTTATCCAGAGATCAGGAGGTGGATGTGGAGGGAGATGACAGCACAGCAGGTTAATGCCACTAAACAGCTGGGCATTTTCTAGGCAACTGTCTGCTGAGGGTGGCTTAAGCATGTGGAAATCCCATATTTCATATGTTTGCATGTTTATAGTTCTTAACATATAGGGCATGTTTAGTCAAGTGTAGATGTTCCTTGTAATTAATCCTCCGAGTAGTATATATTTCTGATCCCCAGTTCTTTATTCTTTAGGCACTATTCAGGAGGATTACCTGAGGGAGCTGCTGACAACAATGGGAGATCGGTTTACTGACGAGGAAGTGGATGAGCTGTACAGAGAAGCGCCTATTGACAAGAAGGGAAATTTCAATTACATTGAGTTCACGCGCATCCTTAAACATGGAGCAAAAGACAAAGATGACTGAAAGAACTTCAAATTCCAGCCAAACGTTACTTGTTGCCACTTTGGGTATTTCTGAGACTTTCTCTTATAGCCTATTGCATGCCCTTAGCTTTACAGCTTTTGCCTTTCTTGTTGTATTTATTCTCAGCCATTTTGGGCACGTGCATCTCTATAATCAGACTGGAAATGGGACTTTTTGTCATTTTCAGAATAGAAAATAGGGTAATTTAACTTACCAGCCCCCCCCCCCAAAATAACTGCAGTCTGCACAGAGTCAATATATTTTTTCAGAGAAAGTTATTCACTCAATTTTTTCTGAACCATAATTAAACTTTATGATAAAAATTTGCTTGTTTAAAATTTCTTATTTACCAGAAACGGCTTAGTTTTAGTTGCGTCTTCCAAAGAAAGGCAGATGAGGCAAATCATAGAAAATAAGGTTTTTAGACCTCTGCCTTACTCCTTCCAGTTTTCCTAACATTCCCATCTCCTCTAGTCATCCCCCCCAAAGAAAGCCAATTTTAATTACCTTGATCGGGTTTCCTGCACTTTGTCTTCCAATTTTAAAAAGAATTTCTTGTAGGATTTGCATATATGTATAATAGCTCTGGTAGCTTTAAGTTTAACATACCTGCCAACATCCCTCCTTATTTATTTTCAGCTTTTGTACTTCATTTAAAATTACAGACCAGGCCATGAGCATAATTTTAATTTGTCCTAACTTTTAAAACTATTTCAGCCTCAAAGGTTCTGAGGAATGCTTCTACCAAAGAGACAGCTGTTTTTGTATTGTATTTCAAAGTGTTGGAACTACAGTACAGTATTTTTTATCGTATATAGTTTCTCTTTAACCCAACAATCCCTGTTGAAATACTGTGTTTGTTTATACAGAGATTCACCCTGAGTCCATGTTTGAGTTTTGGACATTCCTGACCTGCCCACAATCAAAACAGCTGAAGCTACATGCCTGGGAAAGTGAGATCATTATTTCAATCCTAAAAATAACTTCTGCTATTCGCAGAAATGCAGGACTGTTTCAGAGGTGATGAAGTGGTAGACAGTTACTCACTTTGGGCTTCAAAAATCTGACTTTCCAAGATTCATGAGTTTAAGAAAGATCTTGAAACATTGGGGAAAATGTTGAAAGAGTTGACATTTAGCCTATGAAGATAATTGATAATTACTTTAAGTTTTATCCTGCTATTAAACAAGACTGTCCTTGGACAGAAACCATTACCTCATTCAGTAAACAATTACTGATGGCCTTCAGTGCAGCAGACCTTTACGCTCAACAGAATAGTGAGCTCCATCCTTTAAGCTGGTGAGGCCAGCTTTATACAGCAGGAGTAGGACTAGTAACAAGTCTGTTCTTGCCCCCTGCAAGATTAGAATCCTAGCGCCTTGCTTAACTCTGCCCTTTATATATGTTCCTGAATTCCATTCAGTGGTTTAAGCAAAGTACTTTGTTCAGGCTATAGCCATGATGTTAAAGTCTTGTTTGTTGAATTGCATTTCCATTTCAACTGAAAAATAATCACTTCTGCTTTGTTAATCAAATTTCCAGTGAAGAACAAACAACATTGTTTCCACTCAGAGAAAAAGTGGTTTCATTTACTAAAATTATCCCTTGTAGTATCCCCCATTTCACAAGACTGCTCAAAGAACCAGCCTCTATTAGGGACAGTGAATGGTCTCCCTTGGATGAAATGTCTCTTAAGTTAGTAATAGTCTCTACGTAGTAAGTAGGCTTTGCTTAAGCTAGATGATTGCCAATAAAAAGCTAAGTCACCTACTCCAACATTGGATTTGACTGAAAAACCAATCTCTATAATGAAAGTCATATTTGAAGCAAACCATTTCAAAAGTTCTGATGAAACCAACCTAATGGGGGCATCATCCTTATCCACCTGCTTATGATTATATTGGCATTTGGATTCCAGGGCCCAAATTTTATTTGATCAAGGACCCTCTGACTCAATGACAGCGGTAATTGATGGGTGCTACTGGCAAAAAAGAGAGGAAGCCAGACTATATGAGACAAATAAAAGCAAATTCTGAAAAGGAAAGGCAACCATTTTCTACACGGTATGAGGAGAAAGGACAGCAAGCAAGAGGTGTAACACCTAGACTTAGAGATGTACAGGCAATTTGTAAGAAGGATCAGATAGGAGACGATGAAAGGACTTGGAGAGGTGGATAGACACAAAAATAGTATTATGGGAACCAAGTGAAGAATTCCAAGAGAGAGGAGGTTAGACACTAGTGTTAAACCACAAGAAAATCAAGTATAGGAAAATTTAAATGAGACCACTAGTTTGGCAAGTCATTGGCCACCTCTACTAGAGCAGTTAAGAGTTTTGAGTGCAGAATCCATAGTGCAACATGAGAGAGTGAACAATGCCTAGGTTTGGGGGTCAGGCCGACTTGATTTTAATCCCGTTTTTTTTACGTCATGGCTTTATAACCTTAAGTAAGTTGTTAACCTCCCTTGACATCTATTCATTTTTAAAATGGAATACTAACATAATCTATTAATACATAAAGCAGCATTTTTGTGATTGAGAGCAGTGTGGGTTTAGAGCCAGACTTGGTTTAGTGAATTCCACCTGTTATTTGGCTACCTTTACATGTTTGGGCAGGTCGCTCTTAAGTGTCATTTTCCTCATCTGTAAAACAGGCACAATACCCTCCAAGTTTGTTGTGAAAATTAGAAACACTGAAGCTAAATGGTCTGACACAGTAGGTACTCAGATAGTAGTTACTCTCGTTCTATTTACCAGCTGGGGGGTCTGAAGTTTGGCAGTAAGAGAGAAGCTTGAAGGGAAGGCAGGATAAAAGGGCGTGTCTTTAGAATAGAGATTCAAGCCTGTTTGTAGACAGAAAGAAGACAAACTAGAATAAAACAATTAGTGAAACAAAATGAATTACACAGGAGATAGAAAGGGATAGAACCTAGATCACATGTTTTAGGATTATCCTTAGAAAAAGAAAAATGGATATTTCTCCCTCTGCAAGAAGGGAAGGTGAAGTGATATGAGTTTAATGATAGTTGGAGATTAAGTAAAAGGTTAGGAGAAAGGTCCATAGTTGTTTGATAGTAGATTATCTCAAATTAGAATTTTATTATATTAAATGGTTGTTATGAGGATTTAATGAGAATATATATTAAAATGCATGTCAGTTTGCATGGTACCTGGTATATGCTCAAATAGTTAATTTAGATTTCCTGAGTAGGTCTGATATACTAGACTTGTTTGTGTCTTTTTTAGGTCTTCCTTAAGTGTGCAATTTCCCTGAAACCTGGTTTTCATCTTTGCTGTCCTTAAAGACATTGCTGGAGCAAATCCCATGTGGGAGAAATGCCCAGTTTTCCCAGTGGTGCTTAGCCCATTTCCACTTCCTCTTGAACTTCCAAGTCCCTATATCCTTTTATCCTAGATTTCTGTGTGCCTGCTCGAATAGCAGGTGTCACGACTTCTTTTCCATATTTATCCACATACATTTGATAGTTGTAGTGAATATACAATTTACTTTGTAGTTTAATATGTCTGAAATTGTTTTTCATGTTTTGCATAGCCACTATTTTTTTGTTTTGTTTTGTTTTGAGTATATTACCTTTTTTTAACCATTCTTTTTAATGACAATTGTCTTTGACATGGAATGTGCCATAATTAACCATTTCCCAAGTGATGGATATTTAGATATTCATCTTTTCATTAATACGTTTTTCTTGAATCTAGAGAGAACGGTATACCTTAGAATTATTTTTTTTGGAACAGTGCTATCCAGTAGGACATTTTCTGATGATAGAAATGCTCTCTGTACTGTCCAGTAAGAACACTAGCTGTATATGGCTATTGAGCACTTAGAAATTTGTCTAATATAACTGAGGAACTGAATTTTAAATTTAACTTAAATTTAAATCACCACGTGTGGTTAGTGACCAGTGGAAAGCACAGTTCCAGGAACTTAAATATGGACATCAAAGTCAAAGTACAGTCAGGGCATCTCACCTATGATCTTAATTAAGGTAGCCAGCGTGAGGGCTTATGGAATAATAGAACATACTTGGAAGAGCACTGTGACAAAGACAAAGAGCTAAGAAGCCAAAATCATCTGATGAGTAGAAAAATTATTTAAACTATTGGACCAAAGGGCCGACTGCTGCTAAAGGAAAGAGTAAATATTTTAGAACCAGGTGTGACTTCTCAGCAGTTGCTTTTCAAGCTTTATTGAGAAAATACATTCAGTCATGAACTGGACCGTGGACAGTGCTACTCGGATGAGGACTACAGCTTCAGGATCACCTGGGTGCTTATTAGAAATGCAAATTCTTGCCCCACCTTCAACCTACTAAATCTGCATATCTGGAGTTGGGGCTCAAGAATCTTTTACCAAGCCCTCCAGGTTTTTCTTATGTGCTACTATTTAAGAGCTACCGCTATAGAGTGCTGAACATGTGGTTCATACCACCTAGGAATTTCTGATCAAAGATTCTAGAATATAAGAGACTGAATTATTCATTTCCCCAGCATCGGGCACTCGGTCAGGCAATCAAGTGCTCAATGAAGGTTTGCTTTAAGTTGACTGTATTCCATTATCTAGAAATAGTGCTATTCATCTAGATTATTTCAAGGTGAGGAAACTGAAGGTTACAGCCACACAGTATCTAGAACAAAACTTGAATAATGTAGCTTCGTGGTTTCCTTTGTTTTGACCAAGAGCTTTATATAATGTGTGTGCGCGCTTGTATGTGTGTGTGTGCTTACATAATTTTGTCATCTCTTTGATGACCCAAAGGAAAGCAAATAATTTGAATAAAACTTTCTTGTGGTTGAAAGGAAAGTGAAACAATCATAGGCCGGCCGGGGCCTGGGAACGCCTTAAACCTTAGGGTAAGAAAGGAGGAGCAGGAGTAAATACAATTCGGCTGGAGTGCAACTTAAAAAAGAAAAGGTTTTCCGGCATTCAGGAGTCCGCCCGGCCGCCGCCCACTTTCCCCAATATTATGTGGGACGTACCCTAAAAAATGACTTGTTTTGCCTGAAGTTCAAATTTAACAAGGCGAGCTGTATTTTCGTTTGTTACTGGGTAACTAGCAGCCACGGGTGGGCGGCTTCCGGCCCCCGGGCACCCCGAAACTTTGAGGGATCACGCCGCGCCCCGCCCCGCCCCGCCCCGCCCCGCCCGGGTCGAATTCCAGGCCCAGCCCCGCGCCCGGCGGCCCGGGAATGCGGAAGGGCCGCGGGAATTTGCCGCGGAAGGGGGAGGAGGGCGGGCCGCGGGGCCACGGCTGCCCCGCAGTGGGGGACGCCGCGCCAGATCCGACAGTCGGAGGAAGACAGCTAGCCCCCGGGCTGCGCTCGGCGGCCCGGCCCCTCGGCGCCCACAGCCGGCTCTGCTCCAGCCTGAGCGAGAGCCCCGGCCGCGACCCCTCGTCCCGACTTGGATCCCGCCGCGTCTTCCGGTGCGCCTTCCGGTGCGCCTTCCGGTCCGCCTCTCGAGGCAGGAAGTGCCGGGATCTGCTGCTGTCCCTCCGCAGCCCAGTGCTCGTAGCCGTCGCCGGTCGCCTCCCGCAGCGTCGGCCGAGTTCTGGTGTCTGGCGGCGGTGAGTGGCCCTCGCCCCCGCGCGCGACACCCCTTGAGGCGCTCCTGTTCTGCCCCGGGCCCCCAGCCTCGCGCCCGCGGCCGGACCCCGCTCTAGGCGGCCGCGGCAGGGAGGGTCGGGGGCTGCGGGACCTGTCTGGTTGAGCGAGGAGGGTCAGCGAGGAAGCCCTGTCCGCGACCGGGAAGCTCCAGGGCGGCCGAAGCCGGGCTGGGGAGACGCCTCGCTGAAAGAGGTGGCCGGGGCTCCGGCAGCGCATTGGCCAGCTCTGCGCCATCGGGGTGGCTCCATACACCTGGTGCCGTGGACCTCCCGGCTGCCAGCCCCTGCCCTCGCGGGCCCGGTCTTGGGTTAGGGTGTTGAGACCTAATCTGTGCCGTACACAGGGCTAGGTGCTTTGGGCAGTACAGGAGTCTACTGGTGCGTGGTTCTTGTCTTAGATGCAGTGTCCAAGGAAACTTAGAGAACCGTCATGGGAGTCCATGGGTACTGTAGGCTAAACTGTAACGATTTCCATAGGAGTTATGTGTTTCGCTGTATTTTGCGTCTTGTAAAGATTTCGTTCATTCGTGTTGAATGGAGAAAAAGACAAATGACAGAAATCAAGAAAGGTTTCCTGAAAAAAGAATCGTGACCTCACTGGAGGCCTTGGGTTCAGCCTGGGAGGGAGAACTCAGTATTTCTGGCTGATCTGTGGTAGGAGGTAACAAGACCAAAATCTCTAAAGGTGGGAATTGTGTCGTGTGAAAAGGAGACAGCGGGAAGACCAGCCTGAATGGAGCTATAATGAATAATAATTGGAAATCAGGGTAGGTAGGCAGGTAAGTGAGGCCTTTTTATGGATGTCTTGAAAACTTGACAGAAATGAAACATTACGTAAGAGGCATTAGGGAGTCATTTTGGATTCTTCACTAAGGGAGTAATATGAAGAAAGGGGTGTTCAGAGGATTAGTTTGGCAGCCTTTGTTTAACATGGAATTACGTTGGTCTTTTGGTAAGAAAAGAATCATAGCATTTTAGAGTTCAAAAGAAGCTTATAGATTCTCTTTCATTTTACAGTTGAGGAAACCGAAACCTAGAGAGGTGAGATAATTTGCCCAAGGTCACTTGAGGGGTGCACGCGGTGCTACCCATTTTCTCTGTAAGCGTTAAGTGGGCCCTTCTGGACCTCAGAACTAAGCACACAGCTTTTTGTTTGTTCAGGCTCTGTTGAGTGAAACAGCTTCTGTGATGGTTGACTTGATACTCATTTATGCTTTTTTTTTTTAAAGATTGGCACCTGAGCTAACAACTGTTGCCAATCTTTTTTTTTTCCCCCTGCTTTTTTCCTCCCCAAATCCCCCAGTATACGGTTGTATATTTTAGTTGTGGGTCCTTCTAGTTGTGGCATGTGGGATGCCGCCTCAACGTGGCCTGATGAGCGGTGCCGTGTCCGCGCCCAGGATCCGAACCAGCGAAACCCGGGGCCGCCGAATTGGAGCGCGCGAACTTAACCACTCGGCCATGGGGCCGGCCCCCTTATTTATGCTTTTATGAGACTGAGTTTGGACAAAATGAACTGCAGCTTCTGAAGGACAGATCCCCATGGGAGGGTTCCTTGGGTTAGGAAAGTTAAGAGGACTTAGAGCCCCTAAATGAGGCTGGTTATCCCTCAAAGATTCAAAGACACCATATATCTAGGCATGATTTTCATTGCCAGCAACTTTGGGATCTTCCTTCCTCATTCCACATTTTAGCTATTCAGGGGCATTGCTTATTACTCCCAACTAGCTATCCACATTTTCGTGGTAGAGAATTTCCACTGCCTATATGAAGGATATTAGGGACTAGTGGTATAAGCTTTGCAACTAGACTTCCTGAGTAGAGATCCTGGTTCTAAGCTCTACCATTTTCTAGCTGTGTGGCTGCGGGCAAATTGTTTATTCTCTTTGCCGTAATTTTCTCATCTGAGAAAGGGAGATAATAACAGTACCTATATCATAAGTTGTGTTAAATATGTTAAATATATGAAGTGCTTAAACCAGTGCCTAGTGCATATTTAACACTCAGTTATTGGCTGTTATTAGTATTCTTTCTTCCATGGAACAAGGGGTGGCTGTCATTTTGTTAAGGATCTCTTAAGGAAGAGTCCAGTGGAGTTGATACTAAACCATGGGTAGAGTATAAAGAAAAGCCTTATTTTGGGAGTCAGATCTAGGACCTACCTTATAATGAACATGTGTATATGTAATTGTGTTTGTGATAGGAAGGAAGCATATGTATGTATTCACTTAACTTGTATTTATTGAGCACCTGCTGTGTGTAAAGCACTCTACTAGACCCTGCAATCCAAGGTAGAAAGGCTAAATGCCATAAAAATGTATATGTAAATGGCATGGCAATGGAATGAATACTACTTGGCAGTAAAAAAGAATGAAAAACTCAACAAGATGGATGAATCTCAAAAACATTATATTGAGTGAAAGAAGTCAGGCACATAGAGTGTACACTGTATAATTCCATTTGTAAGAAGTTCAAAGACAAAACTAATCTATGATGATAGAAATCTAAGCAGTGATTGCCTATGGGAAAGGATGATTGACTTGTAGGGAACTTTCTGGAGTGATGTTAACATTCATAACTTGATTGAGTTGGTGGTTACATGGGTGTACACATGTACAAATACTCGTTTTTAAGATCTGTACGTTTCACCGTATATAAATTTCACTGCAATAAGGGAAAATGATATAGGAGTTCAAAGGATGGAAAGTTTACTGCCAACTGGGATCATCAAACCCACAATGAAGAAATGACAGCGTTATAGTCTATGTGGTACATGTTAAAATACATATAATCAGGGAAAGTTAAACTGGTGGTGAGAAAAGCTGTAAAAATTGAGTTGGCTCTGTAAAAGAAATAATAGATATAATTTATGGAACTGATTATATATTTTCCTAAATATGCAACATTAAAACAATGATATGTCATTAAGTATATGAGGTTAATTTTGTGGAGTATTTTAACTTGATTATATACTCAGTTCTCTTTATGATTGTTGTTTTCAGACTGTTGCTCATGTATCCAGTCATTTGATCCTCCCAATTAGCACAAACATTAGTCTTGACTGTGGTAATGACCATGGGAATCCATGAGAAATATCTAAAGATTCCGATAAACCTTGGAGAAGATGAGAATTGAATCAGAAATGACCTTGGGTTTTAGCTCAAGAACTGCGCTCTGCTATTTTGTGTTCCTCACTCTCAGGCCTCACCTTGTGCCTCTACGCACAAATCAGCCTTGCTAAAGGAGACCTAAGCATCCTGCCTCTGACATCTCTACTACCGTTCTACTGTAGCTTGGCTAAAACTTGAACTCTTTATCATCGCTTTGCTCACAAAACCAGCTCTTCCTCCCTCCCCACTTACCTCACTTTTGAGTGGTAACATTATGCTGCTAGTTTTTCAGCCAGTACTTAAGAAAAGCACAGTCATTCAAGGACAGAGCTTTGAAGGAAACTCTTAATTAGGAAGCCAAAAGAACTAGCAAATCAGCATGGGAATCAGCCAGAAGAATAGGATAGTGGTGATGGGAATATTGAGGATCGGGTGAGTGCTGCAGTTTAAAAAGGAGCCCTCAGATCTTGGAGAGAGACTAAATAGAAGGAATTAAAATTTTCTAACCAGGAATAGAAAATTCCCTATCCACTGCAAATTTGACTGTGGCCCCTTCAAGCTTTTTAAAATTCTGTGGCTATAATTCTGAAATAAATGTATTGCCCTATTTTAATATTAAAGAGGCCAAGGAAACACAGCGGCTTTATTAGTTTTCTCTTGCTATATAACAATTATCCCCCAAACTTAGCACCTTAAAAAAAAACGGTGGACAGTTTCTGAGGGTCAGGAGTTCCAGGATAGCTTAGCTGGGTGGTTCTGGCTGAGGTCTCATGAGTTTGCAGTCAAGAGTTGGCCAGGTTTGCAATCATTTGAAGGAAGATCAACCTCCAAGATGGCTGACCCATACGGCTAGCAAGTTGGTGCTAGCTTTTGGCAAGAAGCCTCACTTACCTGCCACATGGACTTCTCCATAGGGCTGTGTAGGTAGTGCCCTCGTGACCTGGTGCTGGCTTCCCCCAGATTGAGTGATCTGAGAGAGAGCAAGGCAGAAGCTGCAGTTTCTGTTATGACAAAGTCACACACCATCATTGTTGCAATATCCTATTCGTTATGAAGAGTAGAAAATTATGCCACCCCGAAATACGCCACTTTGGCATAAAGATTATTTTGAGCTGAAGACAATTGAGAAGAAGCAGACTCGAGCAAAGCTCTCTGCCTCCCCCTATTTGCCTAAAAGTAGGACATAAATTTATAAAGGTGTCCTTCCTCTCATCTCTACCAAGAAGGACAAAGGTTGCTCTCTGGAAACAACTTTAGACTCTTACCAATGGAGAAGGTGCTGACTTAAATCTACATAACAAGCCTTACCCTTGTTTACTGTGTTTTTCCTGGTAACCTTCCGTAACGAGCCTCTCCCCTTTACACACACCTGTCTTCTTTTGGCTTCAGGTGAAGATATTTAAGCTGGAGTTCTAAGCTACCGCTGAGAGTGGGCTTTTCCCTGGGTATCTCCCAGGTGTACATGAGGTATACATGTTAATAAACTTCGGTTCGTTTTTCTCTTGTTAATCTGTCTGTTTTACAAAGATATCAGCGAAGAACTCAGAAGGGTGGAAGGAAAATTATTTGACCTCCCCTGTGGTTTCACAGGTCAACCCTTTTCACTGTTGCAAGGACTGCACAAGGGCATGAGAAGTGTTGAAGGCCGTCTTGGAGCCTGGCTACCACCATAGCTAGGGAACAAGCTCAGATGCTCTCGGGGGCCAGGCAGTTACATAAACGAACGCCAGCTGTGACAGGAAGATGCTGGGAGTAGGGGGATTGCTCCCTGAGTATTCATCATCTACAGGAATTTGGGAATGCTGCTCAAGTAATTCCTTATCATAACAGTTTTTCAAGATGTTTGAAATT